TAATATGAAAAATAAACATGTAAGCAATATTCAAAACATAAAAACTATCCCTTGATTCATCAAATGATAGTGCTTATTTATGTGTTCTAGAACATGTATATCCTTTTTCAACAGCCTTATTGAAATATAATTCATCTACTATAAAATTCACCCATTTAAAATGCACAATTCAGTGGGTTTTGGTCTATTACCAGAGTTGTGCAATCATCACCATGATCTAATTTTAGAACACTTCTGTCATCCAAGACAGAAACCTCATATCCCTTAGCCACCACTGCTCTTCCCCACCCTCCCCTCAGCTCTGGCAACCCTTAATCCACTTTCTATCTCTACAAATCTGCCTATTCTAGACATTCCTTGAGAAGGAAATCATACGACTTGTGGTCCTGTGTGACTGGCTTCTTTCAGCTGTCCTAATTCTTTCAAGATTCATCCATCTTGTAGCATATATATCACCACTTCCTTTCTTTTTATTGCTGAATAATACTCCATTGAGTGAATATACAACGTTTTATCACTTGAAGGACATTTAGATTATTTCCAATGTGGGACTATCATGAACAATGCTTCTATGAACCTGCATTTGTGAACAAGGTTTTGTGTGGACATACATTTTCATTGCTCTCAGCTGTATACCTGGAGTAGATTTGCTGCACCCGATATTAACTCTACGTTGAGCATTTTGAAGAAGTGCCGAGTTGTTTTCCAAAGTGGCTACACTATTTTACATTCCCATCAGCAATCTACGAGGTTTCCAACTTCTCGACATTCTCACCAACACTTCTCACTATCTGTCATAAAACATGCATATTAATACTTCCAATTTCTCTTGGTCATTTTACTCCCCATCAAAATTGTTCGCTGTTTTACCCTCCGTCCCATGAAGAAGTTGTTGCTGTCAAACAACTCTACCAAACACATTTTAAATGAAACAAAATACACTAAACCCATAATCCACCTTTAATCCTATTATTTTCTAAGTGTTTTACTTCATTCCCCTCTGACCTAATCATTATCCTTTTTTTCTTAATAATCACTTTACTATGACTTCTCAAAATATAAATTCCCACTGAAGTAATTCTTAGCAAAGCAATTAATGTGACATGCACTTATATGGATAATAGGAGCAAAATTAGTAATTTAGCCCTGTTCAAAGACTTCTCTCTTTCTCCAATAGAAGATAATTGTGGGTATGAGTTTCTTACTTCTGCCTATGACCCACTCATGAATCATAAAATCAAGTGGATGTGTCATAACCAAAAATTTTAAATGGGGGGGGGGGATGGAAGGGAGATAGATGGCAGAGTAAGAGTGCAGAAGAATGGACTGGAATAACACAGAAGTGTTAAAGCCACTGCATTGTTTTCCGACATTTTTCGTTCATTATATGCAGTCAAGAAAGTGTGAAAGCCACTGCTGAAATCACATATTTAATTTTCCCTTACCTCTTTCCTAAATCCAAGGAATTCTCTCCCAAACTGGAAGAATGGAAACAGAAAAAAGGAGTATTTTTAAAAAGGCAAGTTGTGAAAGAGAATTTTGGGAATTTGGAGAAAAGAGCTGTAAGAGAAAAGGGAAGGTGAATAAATGCTCTGGGCCATACCTTTAGCTTCTTTTAATGTCTGTTAAAGATCAGAGCAAGTTAAGAATAGAATGTATTTTTAAGGATCTTGGGCCACACACTTCGATTTATGCCATGCTGCTCTGATACTAAGGAATGGGTTTCTAAGTTATCAAGGGCCACATAATATGTGCATATTACAAAAATATGCTCACTTATGTAAACAAGCATTTACTATGGTTGGAAGAGATGACTTACAAGCTCCTTATGGAAAAAGAATTGGTCTTTTTCAAGGATGGCAGTAGCTTATAGTTAAGAGCATAAGCTTTAGAGTTAAGCAGACTTTAGCTAATCTCAACTTTACTTCTCATTATATGTGGTACACAAGGAAAATTATTCAATCTCTATAATACTCAAATTTATTCTGGAAACACATTAGGCTATTTTGCAAATTAAAGTAAGTATAAGGCATATTTCTAAAATTAGGTATAATATCATAGGATCACGAACATAGTACGTAATCAATACATTAAAGTTACTTTTATTTAAATTATTGTAGAAGTCTTAAAAATATTTTAAAGCAGATAATCCAAAGATATAGTCAATTTTAATCAAGAAAAAAATAATTGGATACAAAAGAAAATATCACTGGTGTAAGCTATCAGACAAGGACCAGGAGCATTCAGTAAATCCATTATTACTACCAGTTCACAAAACTATATTCATTATAATTTTTTAAACTGTGAGGTGGCAAATAAAAGAAGATACATGATTCCTTGTGTTCCAATTTCCAATAATGAAAGGTAATTTAAGCTGTAATCAACTATGTAACAGTCCACTAACAGTACAGAAAAACTCCAAGTGGGCACCAGCCAGGTAAAATTATTTGGCAGCAAAACATACACAGGACTAGGATATGGAAGCTCAATTAGAAGTTATGCATTTTTTAATAACACTGATTAAACTATACCATACCTTTGAAAGCTAAGTAGACTGGCATAAACACCATTTGTTAAATGTGGGGAAATTGGGGAAAACGGAGATCAAAAGATTTGATCAAGCATGTCTAGAAATCAATTGCAAAAAAAAAAATTCAAGCAACTACTCTGAATTCATGGTCCTGTTTTAACTTAGCTAACCCCTTTCTAATCAGCTCATCTAGAAAATGTCACTGACCAAGGTCCTCTAATGCTTGTTCACACAAGGGAATTATATAATGTTAGATCCACAGTGACCCATAATCATCCTTAGGGCTCCTACCAAGGGTATAATTTCTGAGACATCTCTAAATTATCTAGTAAGTTGCACAGTCCAGTGGTATTTGATTTGATTTTAAATAATTCATAGATAATATGACGAAAAGTAAATCTGCAAAAATAGCATCTAGCCTGTTGTCTAATACGTGTCACAGCATGCTTACTGTAGGCAAGAAATCAGGCACAAGATCTACTGTCTTAAGTAACCACAACTATTTTATTGCATCCAATAAAATTGTTGCCAAATGCTAAAACAATGATTATTTCTTTAATTTTCCAGAAAAAACCCACAAATATAATTTGCTTATGTACAAAGCTTTGTACTAAATATTAGAGCCTCATACATTTAAAAAGAGGTATAGGCATTAAGGAGCTATTAGTTCATAATAATACTTATGGAAGAAAATAAATAGGAAGGATAAGAGAAAAGCAAATTAAAGTTAATTGGATACCACCAGAGGATATTAAGGTACTAAATTATTTCTCTGAAAACTAATGATTAAAGAGGAAAATTAAAATCTATGCTGCCAATCTTGTTTAAATTGTATTTCACAGAAACCATGATGCAAGTTCTATATAAAGGAATTTTGCCTAATAAATGCAAGCAGAATAGAAGAATTAGGCTGCAACCATTTTTAAGTATCTAATTAACTGATTCACACAATGCTCTTCAATGAATGGTAAAACCATTAGATGCAAAGTTGACAGGGAAGTCTATAAGGAAAATATCAGGTTGTTACCTGTCACCATCTGAACCCAATTTAAGCATCAATAAAGGTGCAACAACCACACTTGTTTACCACCTACATGACATCATGTGAAATACACAGCACCTGTTATAAATATTCTTGCAAAAAAAGTACATAAGTCTAATTAAGCCTTTCTATCAAATATCTAGTCTACAAGGGAACATGAAGAACAGAGGAATAAGTTAACAGAGCAGTCAGAAATCTAAACTCCAAAATGTGGGACTTTCTATAGGACAACTGATTGAATGCTTCTACAAAACAACAGAATGGGAGAAAGAGAAGAAGGGGCAAAAAGAAAAGAGGGATGAAGAAGGAATAAAAGGAGAAGCCATGGAAGTAAGGGGAGAAAATGAGGGATGATGGAAAGAAATTGGTCTTTAGATTAAAAGAACCCAAAAGACTTACAACAGACAAAGGACATAACCAAATAAAAGAATGAATCTTGGGTGTGCCTGGATGGCTCACACAGTTAAGCACCGGACTTCAGCTCAGGTCATGTTCTCATAGTTTGTGGATTGGAGCCCCACGTCGGGCTCTGTGCTGACAGCTCAGAGCCTGGAGTCTGCTTCAGATTCTGTATCTCTCTCTCTCTCTCTCTCTCTCTCTCTCTGCTTCAGATTCTGTATCTCTCTCTCTCTCTCTCTCTCTCTCTCTCCCCTTCCCCAGGCTAGCTCTCTGTCTCTCTCCCTCTCACAAATAAACGAACATTAAAAATTCTTAAAAAAAAAAAAAAAAAGAATGGAACTGGTTTGGAACATGATTTGAAGAAATCAACTGCTTAAAAATACACACTTTTTTTAGATAAATAAATGTGAGTCTGCTGTGAAGAGACTTAAGTCTTGCTCATTTTATCTGAAGTGACAAGTGAATTTTATTTCATGGTCTACTAATGATGAAGTGATAGTTCTAAGTGCTATGTAGCTCTCAGCTAACTCCAGTGGATAAAGACAGGAAGCTCCAGAAGGGAGGGGACCACCTTTATTTTACTCACTGCTGTAATCCTCAGTGCCTACCATAGCGTCCATGCACTGAGCACTCAGCATTACCTGAGGTACTGTAGCTATGATAGTTTAAGAGGACACCTCAGAAGCTTGCTGAGAGTTTTAACAAGTCAACAATAGGAAATACTAGAAAGCTTTCAAGAACATGCAAATTGCTTAAAGTAACTGGAATTTCATGCACATACGGTAGAAGAATGAGAGATGTCGCTGAAATAGTAAGGAGGAAGTGAATCACCTGCATTGCTGACACGTTGGCCAGGTAATTCCTCATTTTGGGGTGCTGTCTTATGCACTGTGGGGTGTTTGGCAGCACCGATAGCCTCTCTCAGCTAGATGCCAGTAACAACCACCCAATTGTGACAACACAATAGGTCTCCCAACGTTGCCAAATCTCACCTGGAGGGCAAAATTTTCCCCAGCTGAGAACCACCACACTAGAAGCTTCAAGAATCAGAATGCTGACTCAGTTCCAGGAAACAGATCAGGACGCTACCACAAAAGAGGAAGCAGTAAGTGCCAGAATTGATGCAGTAGTATGGGGAATGAGTGGGGGTGGGGTGGGGACAGATCTGAGTAACATTTATGAAATAAACATAACCTGGCCAATCACAGGTGATCAATGAGAATGAATGATGGTTCGAAGATAATCCCCAACTGTCTTGATTGAGCAACTGGACGGTGGGGTTATCAATCAAACAAGGACTATAGAGGAGAGTGGGTTCATTTACACATTCATCCAACACACACTTAACCACTCTCTAGGCGTTCATGTGGTGAACAAGAAAACCAATTTCCTTCTCTCATTGAACTTAGAAGCTAACAGAGGCAGGCAGGTAAATAGAGGCAGGAATATCATTAACTTCTGAGAGTAGTAGCTGCTACGAAGGGCCGATGCTTATGGAAATGTTTATGCAAACTGAAGCTAGAGACCTAGATTTATTAGCCTCTTTTGGTGATTTTATCATGCAGCCTCGGAATTGGAAGATGTGAAATTTGATACCAGTTCTCCTTTTAACTGGTTATGTTATATGTTCTAAGTCTCAGTTTCCCCAATTGTGACAGGATAATAATACATAATGATTATTTAATAGGATTATTATGAGTTGTAAACAGGGAATAACATACTTGTATTTCTGGGCCCCTAAGTGTGCCCATGTATGCAGGTGTACATATAAGTTAGTGCATTGTCTGGTATATGTAAAGCACTCAGTAGTAACAATTATTGTTATTATTATTATTATTCAGTAGTATGGGGGAAGACTGATAGTGTCTAAAAGCCTTTCCCAAAGCCATTAAGCGCTTGGGTTTTTCATGCTTCGTGCCTTCATTCAACAAGTTTTCATCATGTGCCTCCTCTGTGGTTGATGCTGTTCTAGGAGCCAGGGACCCCACAGCGAACAAGACAGACCAGGTTCCAGGCTTCAGAACCAAAGCTGTTACTGGCAGCTTCATCCTTCTCAGCAGCTGGGTCTTTTCACTTCACAGCCTGTCTGGGTGGCTCCTTGATGTAAAATCAGCAAAATTCCCAGCATGACCTCATAGTGGTCCATTTCAAGGGCAATATATAATAGCTAAAAAGCTACATCAGGGTCTGGGGGTAGAGAGAAAATTAGGCAGCTGTTTCATCCTCACCATGCTACAGTGATAGTAAGTTTCAAGTTGTTTGAGAGAAAAATGGCTTGGCTCTATTGCAAGCAATTCCAGTCAATAATGGCAGCCAAGCTGGAATCTTGCTAAAACTGCATCCTGGGGCCAGTTGTGCTCTAAATAATGACAGTTACATCTTCTAAGTGGGAGCAATGGGAAGAAAAGCTGAGAGGAGAGGATAGAATAATACTGCAGACATTTGTGAACAACGGGTTCCAAAATGGACGGTTGCTAACTGCCATCCCAGGGCCCCTTGGGAGTGATCCCGCTGTCAGGATCTGCAGAATTAAGACTTCCCAACCTTGTCATACATTAGAGTCACCTGGACAAGCCTTAAAAGTAGCCAGGCCTAGGGGCACCTGGCTCAGTTGGTTGAGCATCTGACTTTGGCTCAGGGCGTGATCTCAGCATTGGTGGGTTCGAGCCCCGCGTCGAGCTCTGTGCTGACAGCTAGTTCAGAGCGTGGAGCCTGCTTCGAATTCTGTATCTTCCCCTCTCTCTCTGACCCTCCCCTGCTCATACTCTGTCTTCTCTGTCTGTCTCTCTCTCTCAAAAATAAATAAACATTAAAAAAAACTTTTTTAAGTAGCCAGGCCTTACCCCCCAGAGATTCTTATTTAAATGGACTGGGTGGGGTCTTACTTAAAAGTACTTTTATGAAGTTCTCCAGTTGATTCTAAAGTTTTTGTGAACCATTGCTCAAGTAAATACTGATCAAGGTAGAATTTAAACTGAAATGTTTGCAACAAGGGCAAGATATAAGAAAGTCAAATTAATTAGGAGAAAAATTAGAAGTTCTGTTTTATCCAATCCTCCTGACCTAATTCAGGTCCTGACCTAAAAGTACCTATGACCAAACAGCCCAAATTCATTAACAAAACTTCAGAGTAAACTAATAACTATGTTTAAGAAGCTGCCTTATTTTTTGGTATATGTTACAAATAAACTAAATATAAGTAAACTATAACAAATAAATATAAATAAATTAACATCAATAAGAAAAGAAAATCCATTTTTTTTAAACTTCATGAAAATAACCTTATCCTTCAAAATTTAATTTCTTTTCTTGAATCCTATCATCTCTCTACCACATTGGTAAACTGGATGCCAGGTTCTAAACTACTTTTTCAAGTTTATTCATTTTGAGAGAGAGATACAGAAAGCAAGAGGGGGAGGAGCAGAGAGAGAGTGAGAGAGAGAATCCCAAGCAGGCTCCATGCTGACAGCACAGAGCCCAGAGTGGGTCTAGAATCACGAACTGTGAGATCATGACCTGATTTACGTCAAGAGTCAGACACTTAACCAACTGAGCCACCCAGCCATGCCAATGCCAGCTTCTAATTTAATATACAATTGGTGCTCTGTATTATAGGATAATGCTACCAAAAGCAGTCAATTAAAATATATCAATATATTTATACTTTAATAAGTAATTAAAAAATGAACATTTGTGGGAGCTTGGGAGAATAAGGAAAGTGCTATATTTTTAAATTGACCAAAAATAAATCAGATATAAATTTCAGAGACATTATTTTCTGACAAAACTGCATGGAAACATTTACAAAACACTGTGCATTTCGGATTGACTCACAAAAATGATGATTTCAATTTCCAAGGATTCACAGTGAATCCACATTAGATTTCAGCACATAACTGCCCATTGTGGAATCTGATACCAGGTGTAAGGAAAGATGGCATCATTAAGCATATGAAATGTTTGAATGGAGACTACTTTTTGAGATAATTATCAGTAAAGAGCTTAATATTATACCAATTTTTGCTCTCTACCCAACTTTATATATGGATATCAAGCACCCTCTGTGTATTCGGATCATAGAGAAAAATAAGCTGATTCATCAGTGAATCCACAGATGACCAAATTAATTGTTACTCCAAAGACCATATTAAAGATGATCTCACCTACAAAACAGCCACCGGCCCTAACATCAAGTGATCTCGTGGTCCAATATTATTTTGAAATCAATTACTGACCTTAAAATAGAACATACAGGAGATACAAAGGCTTTTGTCTTACCTAGAAATATAACATTTTACAGTCCCAATTGCTGCCAAATAGTATTAAGTGATAACTGTGTGATACTGAAATGCTTTACATAGTGTTGTGCAGTTTATATAAAAATAAGATCTTATATCCCGACTTTACAGATAGTAGAAATAGAGGCTCAGGAGTGCTAGGTAACTCATCTAAGGATGTTCAGTTAGGAAAAGGCAGAGACAAAATTCAAAGCCAGATTTTCATGCCTCCAAATAGAAAAGTTTTACTTTTCTAAGCAGTGCCACTGTGCCTTTTAAAGAATATTCCTAAGTATATATATATATTTTTTTTTTAGCAAAATGGCTAAAGTAGCTTTCCTTATTTTATGCGATGGAAACATTTCTAAGTTATGGGTCCAGAAAGACAAATTTATTTTCTTTTATTTTCTAAGAGGGAAAAGTGGGCAGATTTGTCATAAAAATTACAGAATCTGCTAAGAAACACCATTTTTAAGCAATTTCATCATGCTTCAGTCACAGTGTCCATGTAAATTAAAACAAGGTGCAAACTCTTCAGAACCACTCAAAAATATTTCATTGTAAAATCCCTACTTTAGCTTCTTTCTTAAGTTTACTTAGTCAGAATCTTACAATTATTCAGGTGACTCCCAAACTCCCTGAAACACATAAGTAATGACCTTTACGCATCAACCATAGTAGACACCGTCATCTACCGATTTAAATTCACCTAGGCCTGGCACAAAGTCGGCACTTGCCTATCTTCGTTAAACCAAGTTATTTTCTGATCACATGACTTTGTGTCTGAGACACAAGTTCACATTTGTGTGAACATTTCACTAGTCTTGAAACTAGAAACTCCTAAGGGCAGTGCTGCACATTTTTCTATTAATATTTACATCCCAGAATGGAATATGCTACCTGGCATACAGCTGGCCCTCAGTCCTGCTATTAAAGATTACCGAACAGGAGCACCTGGGTGGCTCAGTTGGTTAAGCATCCGACTTCAGCTCAGGTCATGATCTTAGAGTTCCTGAGTTCGAGCCCCACATCGGGCTGTGTGCTGACAGCTCAGAGCCTGGAGCCTGCTTTTCTGTGTCTCATTCTCTCTCTGCCCCTCTCCTGATTGTGCTCTGTCTCTCAAAAATAAATAAAAATAATTTTTAAAAAATACTACTGAATATATAGTCTTCAAAGTAGTGGAACAGCTACAGGCTAAAGTAAGCACCCTAAGCCTTTGCTGTCCTGTTTTGCTGAACAAATGAGTAAATCACTGGCAACCTTACCACAACTTAATCTGGAAGATAAGAAACTCTCATAGTCTAGATTTTACTAACATCTTTTTTAAAACTTAGAGAAATAATATAAGTTAATCAAAAATACTTGGCAAGAATGTATTCTGTAATGCCATCTCACAGGGATTAAATGAATCAGAGTAGGGTCTGATTAAAAGAAGGGAGACATCTCTAATCTTGGCAGTTCCTAAAATATGAATCAGATCAGAAACTTGAGACCATAAGGAGCAGACAAACCAGCCTCCTGGGCGTATCTCAGTCCTGACTAGCATCCAATTCCTTTCTTCAGCTTGGCAGATTGTGTTTTCCAAAGATAGTGGCAACAGTGTCTTTCTGCCGGCATGCTTTTCAGGCAATGGGACCTATTCGCTCTTAAACAGGTGAAGTCTACTTCCCCGTCCCTTCAATCCAAACTGGACTTAGGGAGTTTTCTGACTACCAGATTATGGCAGAAGTGAAATTCTGGAACTTATAAAACCAGAGAAAAAGTCCTGCAGCTTCTACCTGGGCTTCTTGGAACCACCCAGCTGAGCCCTGTCAACTCACAGAACCCT